TGATGCTTGCACTTGATTGCCAAAATGGCAATCATGAATATTTTGTCCAATACTAAGATCACGATTATTTACCACAGTTATTCACTGATTTTATTGACAAAGATGTTTTTAATACAGAAATGTAAATTATTAATTAATTATTTGCATTAAAATAAAAGAAACCCTCATTAATCACCTAAATACAGTGCATCTCTAAGAAAAAGAAAAGTCTGCTGATAAAAAAATACTAATACATAAAACAAAATTAAGTCATTAGGGCATGGCTTTTACCTTTACATTGTGCTATTAATTCATCTTTATAAATCAATATTTGCAGAAAAATCTTTCCCTCCATTCATTGTAGCAGATGGCTATGAATAAAACTAGCAAAGTACTCAGAGGAGATGCCACACAGGGCAGGCTGTACCGCTCAGAAAAATAGTGCGAGGGAATAACAACAATTTATCTGAAGTCTACATCACTCATTGTGCTTTGTGAACACACATCTGGAATGTGATTGGTTGCTGATTTCAGAGTTTGTGTGTCTTTGTTAGCTGGATGGATATGGATGTGCTGCATAAACCTTCTTCAATTTATGTCTAAGTTGATGCTGGACAATTCAAATGAGCAGCCATGGCATTTTGTCTCAAGATTGATGACCTCTTCCAGTGCATACTTTGTTTTCTTGTTAACTTTCATTCAGTGTTCAATGTTGTGTTTTACACCGCAAAATTTGTCAAATACATCTTCACGAAGCTTAACCCAATCTCTGCATTTCACTATATTATAAAATTGTTCAATCTGTATGATGTAGATTTTCCAGATTTCACTGGGAAGAACACTCATAGTTAATAAGAGCATTAGTGTGAAAGCATATGTGTAATAATAAAGTAATAGTGAAGCAAAAAACAGAAGTTGTGCAAATTAGGCAGAACAAAAAAAGTAATAGAATTTTGCTTGATTTATAAATTTACTAATGTACTGAGTGTTATATAACAAACTTTTCCAATATCAATGGGCTTAATTTCGGAAATAAATTCAGGCGGAAGAATTTCTCCCCATCAGGGAGCATGGTGCCATACCCAGAGTGATGAATTAAAATGGAAGAGGTGTAGGCTTGGCATACATCATTCTGGTGGTGTAGACATGCATGCAGAGCCAGTCACTATGGGGTTTGTAGCAGTGTGTGCTTTGGTAGGTTGAGGGCAGTCTATCTAGAAGCACTTTCTGTGGACAATGCTGGCGCCGGACTCATCGTACTCCTGCTTGCTGATCCACATGTCCTGGAAGGTGGACAGAGAAGCCAGGATGGAGCCTCCAATCCATACAGAGTACTTCCTCTCTGGGGGAGCAATAATCTGCAAGGGCAGAGATGAAGAGGGTTCAGCATTGAAGACTTTTAGGAAGTGCACTTACATTCTGCCAGACATACAAATTCAGCACAGTGTTAATTACCTTGTTCGTGTGAAAGTGAAGCACCTTTAAAAAAAAGAGTGAGTACGAAAGAGTATATAAGAAGCAATAACTTTACCTTGATTTTTAGGTTTTTGGGAGCCAGTGAAGTGATCTCCCTCTGCATGCGGTCAGCAATGCCAGGGTACATGGTGGTACCTCCAGACAGCACAGTGTTGGCGTACAGGTCCTTACGGATGTCCACGTCACACTTCATGATGCTGTTAAAGGTAGTTTCATGGATACCACAAGACTCCATACCTGTGGAGAGTTGGAAAGTTAGGGGTTAAGGTTAGCCTTGCTAAGGACTACTTTTTACAAATCACAGAAATCTGTCTTAAAGCTGATGCTGCTTACCAAGGAATGAGGGCTGGAAGAGAGCCTCTGAGCAACGGAACCTCTCATTCCCAATAGTGATGACCTGTCCATCAGGCAGCTCATACTTCTTATCCAATGACAAAGAGCAGGCAGCTCTTTCAATCTCTCTCTCAAAGTCCAGTGCAACATAGCACAGATTCTCCTTAATGTCACGCACAATCTCACGCTCAGCTGTGAGACAAGAACCCCCCCAACTTTTTATTGTGATTTTTAAATTTTTTCCTAGTTTTACACATCTTCTCTTGACTGTGTCCATGTGCTCACCTGTAGTGGTAAAGTTGTGGCCCCTCTCAGTGAGGATTTTACCAAAGTAGTCTGTGAGGTCCCTGCCAGCCAGGTCCAATCTGAGGATGGCATGGGGCAGAGCGTAGCCTTCATAGATGGGCACAGTGTGGGAGACACCGTCACCGGAGTCCATGACAATACCAGTGGTACGACCAGAGGCGCACAGGGACAGCACTGCCTGGATGGCCACATACATGGCAGGAGTGTTGAAGGTCTCAAACATGGCCTACAGGAGAAAAGAGGTCATCAGTGAAACTAAAAGCCAAAGTACTCTGAAATAAGCTCATATTGGTCCTTCTGTCTCAAACCAAACAATTATTGTCCTCAACTATCTCCAATTTGCATATATTGTATGGTGGAAAATGTTAACGTTTATATGTAAGGGTAAGAAAGGCATTACTGACAAAAACAAGACACTCCCCCAAATCTTTTATTTACAATGTTTGGTTAAAATGTTCTGATTGTTCAAATATGTTATTTTCTTTATTTGTTGTAAAATAATGTGTAACCCAGTCTCTAATGAGACATAGTGCTGGAAGGGTAGTTATTCCTCCGTTACACCACAAGAGGCAGTATCTCCTGAAATAAGCAGCTCTAGCAGGCGTAAATATGTCAGGCCACTCACCATAATGCAGTGTGCCCAACAAGAGCTGTGTGAGACTATGTGCAAACGTGTAACCATGAACCATGTCTATATATGTACAGAAGATAAAGGCGGACTCACGAAGCTACACTGGTTTCAATTCCTTTTAATCCAAGTGTGCAACATATAATAATTCATAATAATTGTTCTGAAATTTTAGCTTCACATATCTAATATTTTTTTTTTCTGTTCATGTTTTTCTGTTCATGTTAAATTTGCTGCTTTTTTCTAGCTTCTAGTTTCAGTTTTCTGTACCTTCTCTGTGTTCCACGTCTGGTTAGTTTTTGTCTCTGTGCTTCATGTTTCCTCTGTTTCCAGGTCTGTCATGTTTCCACATCTTACTGTCTAGTCTGCGTCTTTGTGAATTGTCTAATGTTTCCTCTTTTACTTTGACAGTCTGTGTCCTTTGTTAATGTTTTGCATCCCTTTGGTCTCGTTATGTCTGATTAGGCTCAGCTGTGTTCCCTCCTGTTTCCTATTTCCCCCGTTTCTGCCTCTTGTATTTAAGCTCTTTGTTTTCCTTGTTCTGTGTCATGTTGTACATTCTCACTGCTGTGTTTCTCTCATGTTTCTGATTTAGTTTAAGTTCCTGGGACGTTTCGCTAGTTCATGTTTCTTAGTTTCTTGAGTCCAGTTTGGTCCTAGTTTTCATGTTCAAGGTTTTGGTTTTGGTTTCTAGTTGAAGTTTCTTTTTTCCAGTTTCTTGTTTAGTTTTGTATTTAATGCTTAATGTGTGTGTTTAATGTTTCCCAGCAATAAAGGCTGTCATTTTGAGTTTATTCCTCCGTCTGAGTGTCCTGCGTTTGGGTCCTACATCCTGCCTGCCACACAGCACCAACCATGACAGTTTGCAGCAACGGAGGTTGATCAAGCCTTGAAAGCTGGTGCTACTAATTCTTACAGGTGTTCCAACTTTTCCGGATTACCAAAACAAAACAAAACAAAAAAACGGTGTTGGAACACACTATCAATCAATCAATCAATC